AAAACCACTATAACATAATCACAAGTAATTTGGTATTATTCTTAATCACTGTTTTTACTGGCCTTATTTAAATGTTGCAGAATTTTGTTTTTGATTAACCTCCTTTATAAGTTATAGTTAGCCCCCACCCAATAGCACCGCACATATCTGAGAGGCATGTTCGCATGTTTTTGTTGCATAACCTTTAATAGAAAAGAGTATTTCGGCACTGATTGAAAATCTTTAACCTAAGTGATAACAGTGAAGTTGGTTTCTTGGTCAGCAACAAGGACTATACATAAAATCAAAGAAATTGTATATATTCCACCACTATATGAGGCCTACTTTACTTATATTTCCTTCTCTCTTCCAAGCAGCGATGAAAAGCTATGAATTCACCAAAACTAATCTGTTGCAGCGGAAGTAGCCAATCAAAGACTAGAGTAGGCCTCTACGTCACCTTTTCTTCACTGAAACTCACGTTTTGGCGAAGAGAAGAAATTAACAACTAAATAAACAACAAAAAATCTTTCTGTTTTTTTTTAAGATACACAGCAATGCACCTGGGTTACACTCAATGTAACTTTGATATTGCCTATTCTCTCGTAGTCAAGTAGCCATTGTTTGTTTGTTTTAGAGCAAAGCCACAATAGGCTATCTGCTGGGTCCACCAGGAAATCGAACCCCAGATTCTAGCGTTTTAAGTCCATAAACTTACCTCTGTCCCACCATATAACAGTTGTTGTTCATAAAAATCTGATGATACACATAGCGCCTAACGTCTTTCGTATCCCAGAGATGCGTAAGAGATAAATAGTCACTGCATCAAATTTCAACATCATGACTTAACAAAATGAGCCCCCCCCCCAACTAATTGTTTTAGATATTCGCGCAAAGCGACACAAGGGCTATCTGCGATAGGCGCAGACCATAATTTTGAACTAGTTTGCTTGAACTTTTCCTACTGCGTAATAGAAGTGTGTATTAACTTGTCCTACTGCATATTAAAGAAATATTATTTAACGTAACACGCTGATCTAGTAGTTTTTGAGTTTGGCGTGACCTAGTGCTTAACGTGCCAGACTGTGAATCTCAGGGGCAGCTGTTCGCGTCCAGATGGGCTCTTAGT